TTCACTGAAAAGCTCAGAGCCTTTTATAAGCCTAAAAGGGGCTTAAACATGAACGTGTGGCAGAGTTGGTTCCAACCTATTTCTGGGAGAGAAGACTACCATTTTAGCATCTGTCGTAGGTCCTGGGATGTCAGCAAACTATGAGTACTGAATAGTTTGGGAGTTGTTGGAAAACTTCAATTTTCAAATATGCATCCTAAATGGCTGAATTTGCAAACCATCCCTCTAGGGGTGAAGTGACCATGGTGAGTCTGTTCTAAGCCAAAAGAGTCAGGCAAGCTGTTTATTCATTGTAATAGTGCAGAGATATGAACATCCCACATACCTGTGTGGAAAGAACTACTGCTCCAACAAAAATCCTTATAAGAGTAAAATAATGTGAAGGACACATTCCATGTCCAAAGAGTGCATTTCATGGAAGAAGAAGTTGAAACTAGAAAGAAGATTGGAGATTGGAGGGACTATTATTAATATAGAAATACCAGAGGGTTCTAGAATCCTGGAAATATCTCCTCCTTGGGTATTGTGCTTGAGGTGTTTAAATGATCAGGGAAGGACCTGTGGGTGCTTTGGAATTTGGCCAATAGTATTTGACAACAAGTTGCACCTTTAAAAGAGCTTTTAAAGAACAAGCATAAATAGCGAAGTAAGCGGAGCTGTGTCCAGTAAGGCAGCCTGTGTCAATATTTTGTTCCATGCTTTCATAACTCTACATATTATGTAAACTATGTATGCTTATTGTAAACTATGTATGCTTTTTAAAATGAGACTTGGGATGCTACGGCCTAAACATGGACGCCTGAGGCATTTCTGGATCCCAGAGCCTAAACAAGGATGCCTGAGGAATTTCCGGACCTGGGGGCTTAAACATGGACACCTGAGGAACTTCCGGATCCCAGAGCCTAAACATGGACGTGCACCTGAGGCACTTCCAGATCCAGGGGCCTAAATATGGATGTGCACTCATGGAACTTCCGGATCCTGGGGCTTAAATATGGACGTGTGCCCGAGGTCCGGGAGCCTAAACATGGATCCCTGAGGAACTTCCGGATCCGAGGACCTAAACATGGACGTGTCCCTGGAACTTCTGGGTCCTTGTGCCTATAAAGGGCAGGGCGTGCCATTCAGAAGGGATGTGGCCCATGAAGGGGAGCCGAGTATGGGGCCTGTTGGGGGGCAGACTGAGCTGTCGCACCCTGAACTTGAATGTGATGGTGACCCCACTTCCTGGCCTTCCCCTGGGTCTCACTTCCTCCCCTTCCAGGCGATGCCGGGGAGGAAGTGAGACCAGGGGCAGGGGCCAGACCCTGAGGAGGGACACCGTCTTTCTCCTTGCTTAGGCAGGCCCCCGGCCTGGCTGGGGACGGGGACGTCTTGTGACACTGGCTGCCTCCTGCATCCCTGCCCCAGGACCTCAGGGACCACAGGCGGGGACAGTTGTTGATTCTCCCCTGGCCACTGACCCTCAGCCCCGGGGTCTGCCCAGGGAGAGCTCTGTCTCCCAGAGGGTCCTGTGACCTGCTGCTCCTTATCCACCGTCATCCTGGGCAAGCAAAGATCAGGACACCAGACGCTACTGAGAGTGACATCTCCTAGATGTGCGGCTGGGGACTTTGCCTCTGTCCCCAGGCCTTGGACACCAGATGATCCCCCCCCCCAGAGACAGAAAATAACCCCACACTGCCCAAGACTTATTTTTAAGCTTTGGATTCTGAAATTTTCCTGCTGCCACCTTCTTTGTGAAGCTAGTTTTTCAACAGAGACAATATTCCAGGGGAAAAAACAAAATAAAACATGGAGTCAATCAAACCAAGTTGACACATCTGGTCCTTCAAGAGAAATCTGGATTAGAGGGAGAACAGCCATTCTCAACTGAAGAAATAATGAAGTTCCCTTGTCCTTATTTTGTGTAAGCAAAATAAATAATCTGATGTCACTCATCAATTTTTTTTTGATGAGTGGTTGGCTTCTGGGAAAACTGATTCTGTTTTATGGAATGAAGTGTTACCTGATTTTAAAATTTAAAATGAAGCCAGTTAGGATTGTTAAATTACACTGTCATAATTCTGTTCTTTGATAGCAGAAATAAATAAACCTTTTAAAAAATGAAACTTGTTTGTATTTTGTTTGTCCAGATTTGGTGACTGACCATAGATCACTTATTATCTAACTGCCTTTTTTTCAAGGCCTGTTAGGAGAAAATAAAACTCCCTGACGATGGGCATGATAACATGATCTCTAAAACGCCAAGTTCTATTGCAGTGACAGCATCATTCTCAAGGGCCTGGAAGACTCTGATGTCTATAGGGTTGGAATTAGGAGTTTGTCAGTAGGATCTATGGCACTGAGGCAAAACAGGAAGTTGATCAAGGCTCTTCCAAGGATAACATCGGTTTTTACTGTTGTGAAATAGAATAAAGAATATGGGATTTTAGACTGATGGTGGAACATTTCTCACCATCTCCCCCACCAATGGGATACTTAAGAATGATGATGAGCTTGGTGAGCGTAATGACAAAATTTAATCTCCCAGTCTCTGGGAACAGTGGTGCACACCTGCAATCCTAGCAACTCAGGAGCCTGAGGCACGAGGATGACAAGTTTGAGGCCAGCCTCAGCAACTTAGTGAGACCCTCAGCAACTTAGTGAGAACCTGTCTCAAAATAAAAAGTTAAAACAACTGGGGATGTAGCTCAGTGGTAAAGTGCCTCTGGGTTCAGTCCCCAGTACCCACCCCCCAGAAAAAATACAATCATAAAATTCAGGTGGACAAATAAAATCAAGATCGGGAATCAGATATCTCAATTACTAAGGTTCTCTGCTTTAAAATTGATCACTGTGGATAAAATGAACACTGAGTCCACAGAGAAGAAAGAAATTTTAATTTCAGTTACAGTATAAAGAGAAGGGTCTTTTATAACTAAATAGAGGCATCTGTTTTGTTTAAATTAAGGGTCTGTAAGTACCAGCCAGGGACATAGTTGACAGCCATTCTATAATAGAGTCGTAAATCATGGGGATGGTTAAGGAAGCAAGAAACACCACATTCTTGCTTTGTTCAACCAATTAAGCAATAATCCATCTGGGTCCTATTATTAATTACTACCAAATACAACTTACACAATTGAATTCAACCTTTTATTTAATTATATTAATTTATCCCAGCAACTTCAAATACCCACAATGACAACAATAAGATTCTTTAAAAAAAAATAGATGTCTTATTTAATTTTTATTCTTAAACCATTAATACCCTTTACGAGGTTGCCATCTGACAATTTTTAGCTCCATCTCAGCCTTAGGATGTTAGGGGAAATGGTTTTAAATAGAGACATGTCTGAAGCAAGAAGACAGTGGTTAAAATCTCTTCTCTAGAAAGGTGATGTGTCTAATGCTGTTCAGTAGTAGTGTTTGTGATGATGAAATGTTCTGTATCGGTGATTTCCAATAGCCATTAGCCACGTGTGGTTCTTGAGCTCTTGAAATGTGGCCAGTACATCAAGGAACTTTTTAAAAATTTTGTCTAATTTTAATGGATTTCCATTAAATGCACCATATTTGGCTAGCGTCTATCATATTAGTACAGGTCTAAGATGCATTCTAAGGATGGAGAAATGCAGTGGGCCATTGACTTGGCAGGCAGAGAATGAATATATAGTTATAATAGGTATTATTTGGAAACATTTCCTACCTAGTTTTTCTTATTTGACACATCCCAAATGATCTTTAAGGGAAGGTTTCTAAGCTTACCATGTGGAAAGCTACCTCCATCTGGGAGAGAAATGCACATAAATGGTGCTTTCTCAAATAGCAGAACTAACTCCACTTAGCAACTCTTATAGCCAAACTAGGTCACAGCAAGGAAAACTATTTCTCCTTTGTTAGCCTTATCTCTGCTCTAATTAAAGTGTATTGTCCCCAAACTTTTGAAAATTCAACCCACAAACACATTTAAGGGTCCCAGCAAATACTAGGGTCTCAGAGGTGGCCCCGTCAGATCTCACAGACATTAACACCCAGCACTGTTTGTAAGAATTTTGTAAGCACCTTGTAAGAATTTTGACTCAGACTCTCACATTTCCCTTCAAGGAGTTTTGCCCCTTTGCAAAGTTCATTATTTTTTGTGAGATCAATACAAATCCCATAACAGGGCATCAAGGAAATTTATCAAACGAAAACACCTTTGTTATGAGAATGCTCAGTCTGTGCTGATCCTTCTAACATAAAATGACTAAAGTGAAATCTATTGCAACTATAATCTGGTGGTTGTGAATCAGGCTAGAGAAGAGTTAGTGCAGGTGAATAGAGGTAGAAGGTTTCAAGAAAATTCCCATTAAAATGAAAATGTTTTATCCCAGGTATACTGATTCTTTTCAGCTGGTTAAATTGACCTGGAGAGTGGAGCCAAAGCTCCTTTCCATCTTCTCTCCAACCCTACTCTTCTTCTCCCTGTGCCTTTCCTTCCTTTGAGCTGTGGCTCAACCAATGAACATGAAATTGGTGCCTATAAACCTAATCAAAGTTTTTGGACTGTCAGAAAATTATAGCCTCTTGCTCTTTCACTTTTTATATTTGGCCACACAGATAATCCAAGTTAATACTACTTTAAGACCAAGAAATTGACCCATTGGATTGATGTGCCCAACACTGCCAGACGTACATTGCTCAGGTCTTTCCCAGTCAGGGATAAAAACAAAAAGCAATTGTTATGTACTAAGAAGAAGAAGAAGAAGAAAAGAAGAAGAAGAAGAAGAAGAAGAAGAAGAAGAAGAAGAAGAAGAAGAAGAAGAAGAAGA